ATTAATTCCAAGAGACATGGAGAGTTTTCTCCGGAATTCCCAAAATTAGTTACAGAAGCAATAATCTTCAGAATAATTAGTATGTCAAAGATTTGGTCAGGGAATGCTTTCTACTTACGATAATATCAATGATAACTTTTAGATTTACATGATTCTTGTCTTCTATTTCCCTGGTCCTGGAGAGTATCATTTTATGTTGATCAGTTTTTACATAGTTGTTAATCAGAAATGGAGGGTCATGATTTAAAGGTAAGGGAATTTAAGCAATATGGGCACTGGACTAGAAACAAACAAACAAACAAAAACAACAAAAATACATTTTCTAGCAATATAGAGTTGCAATATTCATTCAACAAGTGATTACTGAGCATCCATCTTCTGCCACATAATTTCTAGGCGCTGTGAATGTCAGTGAACAGAGCAAACAAAAATCCCTGCTTTCATAAGGTTTGCATTCTATTAGGTTTCAATATGCATAATAAATAAAACAATATAGTGAGTTGAAAGGTAATAAACGCTATGGAAAAAAAGCAAAGCAGAGTAAGGGCTTAGGAGTATGCATGTGTGAGAGCAGTCACAGCATTATATGCGATGACCAGGGTGGGCTTAACTTCCAGGCACCCTCTCACCTTCATGTAATAATAGCAGCAATCTTTTTTTTTTTTTTTTGATTCCTAGTATATGTCAATCCTGTTCTAGCGTGCCTTAAAATGTCGTTTTTAATTCTCAAAACAATCCTGTAAAGTAGGTCACTTGGTCTCATATTTTTACAACAGGAAAATTAAGAATTAGGGAAGTTAAGCGTGGGGCCCAAGATCATCTAGTGAATAAACGGCTGAGCAGGGATTTGAATTTTGGTAGCGCATTCCAAATCTTGCGGTCTTTTCAATATGCTGGTGTTTCCCAGATTTTGCTTCCTAAGGCATGGTTAAAAACTACCAGAACTCCCTGGAGGTGTGCATTAGAAAGCACAGATTCCTGGGCCCCACTCCATGGGGCTGCTCAATTCAAATCTGAGTGTAGCCTAGAAATCAGAATATCTAACAAGTTTCCTTGCAACTGTGCTGCACACTAAAGTTTGAGAACCACTGTTATAATCTGCTGCCTCAGTCTTTTGATAGAGTGATCATGATGTCTGTTAACATGATCTATTTTCAGTTCTAAAATTTCCATGTGAAAGATGGTCCTAGCCAGACTCTCGAACTGTGTGCTAGCCTCTGAATCTAGGTACTTCTTCCGAAGTATGGGACAAAGCCAGGTTCTTTTCTGCCCTTTTCCGTTAACTCAGATACTGGTCACTTGGGAGAGGCAGTCTCAGCATGAGGAAATGAAGGACATTAGAACTTTGGGTCCCTGCCAGCCTTCTGTGGGTTTTTATGTCCCTTCCACCAGTTCTGTGGAATCATTGCCTCCAGGTCTGTTTTGCCTTCAAAGACAAGCTCATGGTCACCTTTCCTAACAAGTCTTCCTTTCTAATGCCAGTGGAAGTAATGCCTCCCTTTCTTAACTCATAAACCCTTCCAAGAACTTGTGAAACTGCACAATTGCTGACTACTTTTAACCATCAGGTCCTGTCTAGCTTCATCCGTCCTTGTTTGGAATTATAATAATTCTGAAGGCTTCTTAAAAAAGAAAAATAAAACAAAATAAAATAGCTATACACACGATGGCATTTTTGTCCACCCACACAGACCAGCTTTGCCAACCAACCACCAGCCTCGGTATAACCGACTAGATTCTGAAATGCCAGATATGCCAAGAGAATCTAAAATGTGAGGTGATTAATTTTATTCTGTACTATATAACAGTGAAGGAGGGGAAGTCAGTACTAGGGTATAGAACCATGCAGTTTTTAGAAATAGAAGGGGTCCTGGGTCTCATTTGTTCAAATCTAGTCTTTTGAGAACTAAAAGAACAGAAATCTAAGAAGACGAGGTCATATAGCTAATGCATAGCAGAGACAGTAAAGTTTTTTGGTTCCTGAGTCAGTTTCTTTTTACAGACCCAGGCTTAGGATCTTTGCCTCTCTTCTCCCACTTCAGTGTTCATTTTCTCAATACATAATTCCCATAATCCTTGTAAGGACATCAAGAATAATTATATTGATAGTTAACTTATTCTGAGAAAAGTATCCTCAATTTTCCCATGCCAAAACCTTTCCATATGTATAAGGAGTAAGAAGTGGTAATGTGGAAATCCTATGTTACGAAACTACCATTGAGTCATTCATTAATTCAATCAATAGTTATTATGTTTCTATCATGTCCCAGGCACAGTAGTAATGCATTAAGGAAAGTACTGTTTATGGAAATGGATCAAAAAATCATCTTGTCACGGAGTTTACATTTTAGTGGGGGAAACATACAGCAAACAAGAGAAATTAGTAAAACCCTACATTAGTAGTGGTAGGTGCTAAAGAGAAGTAGGGAAAGGAAAAAGGGAAGTGAGAATGTGTGTGTGTGTATGTGTGTGTGTGTGTGTGTGTGTGTGAGAGAGAGAGAGAGAGAGAGAGAGAGCGGGGGTGGCGGTAGGAGTAAGGGGGAGGTACATTTCAGACAAGGTGGCCAGGAAAGGACCCTTTGAGAAATAAAGGCCATAGTTGGAGAACAAAAATATGAGCTACCACTCATAAGAATCTCAACAGAGAATGGCAAGCAAAGATCTGATTTGGAAAAGGATGGAAAAGGTAGAACACTGATATTTTTATGCTGTTCTTGGTAATTCAGGTGGCAGGAGATGAAGAGAAGAGGGATGACAATTAAAATGGCAGCAGCTGCACTTTCAAAGAAACAAAGAGTTTTGTTAGTATCTAAGGCAAAAATAAATGCCTCATGGTTGGTTTGCGGTTTCATATAAAGAAGAATTTTACTTAGAATATAGAATTTAGGTAATAGAATTAAAATCAATGAGAGACATTATTTTGTGAAAAAAATCTAGAGGACATGAAATAATGCCGACTACTTGCCAAAATGGCATGTGACTTAAAACTTGATGAAAATGTTGACAAGTTTTAGCTCATGCCTATAATCCCAGCATGTTGGAAGGCTGAGACAAGAGGATCGCTTGAGCCCAGGAGTTTGTGACCAGCCTGGGCAACATAGCGAAGCCTCGTCTTTACAACAAAAAACAAAAGTAGCTGGGCATGGTGGTGCATGTCTATAGTCCCAGCTACTCAGGTAGCTGAGGCAGGAGAATCGCCTGAGCCCAGGAGATTGAGGCTGTGGTGAGCTCTGATTGTGCCACTGCATCAGCCTGGTTGACAAAGTGAGACCTTGACTCAAAAAAAAGAGAGAGAGAGAGAGAGAGAGAGAGAGAGAGAAAACATTGAAAAGTCGAGACATTTGATTAATTCATGCAACTATGTAGTTAATGATGAGGATTTGGGTTAAAGTGTGAATTTAATATAAAGTTAATGATAATTCAGTATTTTTTGAGAGTTTATTATGTACTTCAGAGACACAAAGAGGAGCAACACACTGTACTACTTCAGTGAACCTTCACTGTGGTAAATCCATCTTTTCTTCCTCCTGAGCATCCAGCCAGAATACATTTCCCAGCTTCCCTTGAGGTTAAATGTGGCTTGTGGGTAAGTTCTGACCAATGGGATTTGAATGGAAATAATGGATGCCTTTTCTGGGGTTACCCTCACAACCCTAGGAAATGAAAGCGTCTCAAGAAGCAAGGAGTTGGGGTTCCTAAATCGCCACCTGGAAGGCTGTCCAGCAAACATCCAATTGAGCTTTGTGTCAAAGAGATGTTTATTTCTGGATTAAAGTACTGGGATTTGAGACAGTAAGCATTACTCAGCTAATATAATTATTAATTCACACTTGCATAGATTTTTAGTTTGCATAATGCATTCACATATCAAATGATTCTGGTAACCACCTTGAGAATTAGGTCACATTTTTATTTTTCATTTCTAAAGCTAAAATTGATGCCTAATGAGTACTAACTTACTTGGTCCCCGTCACATAGGTAAGGCATGGAGGGCAAATATTCTAAACCACTGGCTCTCAAATTTACAAAAAGTAACTGGTGTAAGACAAGCATGGACAAATCTAATGCAAGGCATTTGGTAAGTGTAGACAAAACTATTAAGGAGATTTAAAAGAGGTAACTAGCCTTCTTGGTCGAAGGAGTCACAAAAGGCGCTCATGGAATAGGCAAACTTAGGTGCCTGCAAATTGACAAGAGAAATGAAACATGGAGAAAGTTCCTGTAAATTTTGACATGGGATATGAGTGGCAAACAGAAATAGAAGGGAGTTGGCACTTGTTCTAATGTTTCAAGGGAAGTTGGAGCAAGCAATGCAGTTTTATGAAGGAAAACAGGAACTGGTAATTCAATACAAATCTAAAAAATATTTATTGAGTGCCTGCCAGATGGAGGGCCTTCCAAAAGTGTACAGAGGATACAGAGAGGAGATAACAAGGGCACAGCCCTAGTTTTAAATGCACTTATAATCTCTAGGGGAAATGGTAATAAATGACTGTATACAATGTTGAGTAAGATAAACATCAATAAGAACAGTATGGCACTGAGAACTGGCATGGGAAGGACACAGGAAGGACAGGAGAATCTTCATGTGGGAGGTAAAATGTCAAGATTGACCTTGGAGAAGGTGCAGTCACTGAGGATGCTTATGAGTACATGAATTCATAAGGGACACAGATCGAATACCAAAAAGAAAGGTTTTATCAATATTTTGAACAAGGACATTGCTTTGTAAATAGCTAAATGACTCCAAAATATGACCACTGTTTAGAGGACAACAAAATGAAAATTACATTTGGATATGTTTGTTTAAACGTGGAATCATAAACTTAAAGTGATATCATAGTTATGAAATTTTCTACTCCTATGAAACTGCCTGGCTTCCAGTGAATTCATTGAGCAGCACTGCACACCAGTAGGTGGTGTACTTGAGTTTCATTATGCCTCTAGAGGCAACCGATCGACGGTTTACTGAGACGCCCTGCCACAGAAAGGCCACCTACCATGAACAGGGCTTCATAATTTTCGATCATCTTCTGCACCACAGCTATGATGGCCGTGCTCTCCTCAGCCCTGGCTGAACTCTGAACTGAGAATTCTTTGTCAGATGACTTCTGCTTGTGCAGCAGGTTGGGTCCAAATATGGTGGCCAAGTTTAGAGATGTCATTTTATTCCCAGTGACCTATGGGAGACGAGAACACAAGGACTGTTGTTACATTTTTCCTTCAAAATGCTGGGTGATTCAAGAATCAATGCAACCTTTTCCTTTCCATTTTTTTCCTTCAAGGACATAATCACCTCTGTCAGAATCCATGAGGGACACCAACATTTTCCTTTTGCCTGATATCTTGGATTAAAGTTCATAGCTCAGTGGTTACCTCACAGCATACTGAGTAAAAACTTTCAACTCCAAGTTGTTTATTATGAAACTGGTACTATATAAAATTTATATTCTGTTTTCACTTAAGAAATAGTGACTTTCATCCATTCAGTCATCCATCCATCCATACATCCATAATCTCTTCATTGATCCACCCACTCAGCATCTACTATAGGCTAGGCATTTTTCCTGGTTTATAATTATATAAATTTTTTTCCAACAATAATCACAATACAGTCCTTATTTTAAAGAACTCACATTCTAGGGGGAAAATCAATCTATCATTTACAGGTAGCAAGTACAAAATATAAAGCTCTCAACCCTGTAGGCCCTAAGGACAGTATCACAGAGGAGGCAATATTTTCAGAAAATCTGGAAAGAAGAAGAGTTTGCTAGGCTGAACAGCAAAGGATTTGGGGTAGGGGACAATTTCTCAGTGGTAAAAACACCATGTGCAAAGACAGAAACATGTAAAATATGTCAAGGAGCCCCATGCACCTCAGTGTGGCAGGAGGTTCTGCAGGAAATGTGGGCAAGGGCCAGGTGAGAGGGTCTTTGTGTGTCAGACCAAGGAGGACAAATTGTGATCTAAGGGCAAGAGGATTCTGGACAGAACAGAATAAAGATGGGATTTGCATTTTAGGAAGAACAATCTATCGACCAGGCAGTGGTGGATGCAAGGAAGTGGGACCACCTGGTACACATCACAACAGTCTGGGCTACAGCAGCTAGCGTCTGAACTAGGACTGAAGAAGTAGGGATGAAGATCAGCTTCCAAAGCTGTGGAGAGGGTGAAAACTGAGGGAGCTCATGCTGAGGCTGAGCATCACATGTTTAAATAAACAAGCAAACAAAATGGAAGGAAAGGAAGTGATGAACGTGGAGGACTAAAAACGGGTTCCTGAGAGTCCATCACCCTTCAGAAGCAGCTAATGAAATGATGAAGGGGACTGGGAATGGGTGAGAAGCTGGAGAATAAGAGAAACCTGTGTCTGAGAAGAAATGATAGGGAAGTTTCAAGTGAGTGATCAACTGTGGCAGAGCTTCACTGAAATAGGACCCTTCCCTCCGGATTGGACTCTGATGGCTCTGGTGTCCTAGCTAACAACCATGGCAGTGGTGTGGCAGGAATGAGCCACAAGTTGCAGAAGTGGAAACAGTGAATGCAGACACTGTCTTCAAAAGGTCTCAGGGAGAAGAAGGAAGAAGAAAGATGGGAGGAGCTCAAGGGGAGTACAGGGTGAAGGGAGGGTGCTATATTTTAACTTGAAGTATAAACAAATCATTCATGTTCAATATATTAATAACTAGAAAGTACAGGTAAACACAATTTAAAAATTGCCCAAGATTCCACCACTGCCAAGAACCAGCCACTCATATGTCTTCTTATGCATAAACATGCATATCTATGTTATTTTCTTTTGTAAAACTGGGATCATACTCTATATATTATTTTGTAACTTGCTTATTGTCTCAACAATATATAGCATTAATCTTCCCATTTCAAAAAATCTTCTGTCTTCAGTCTTTATTGACCCTGTTGCATGAATAAACCATGACTTGTTTTAACCAAGAGCCAGCTGATGAGCATGTATGTTGTCTTCAGTTTTCAGTTATTATAAGAAACGGTACAAAAAAATTTCCTCGAAAAGACATTTTGTCATATTGGCTTAGTGCTGTCTTAGGAGTAATTCCTACAAAACGAATTATTGTAATAAGGAGTATAAGCATTTTTAAAAGTTTGGGAATTCTTTTACTTACTTGTTTGTTTTTCAGTTGAGAGAGAGAGTCTGCACGTTTCTCTAAGCTAGGGTTTGTCCACCTCGGTACCAGTGACATTTGGGGCTGGGTCATTCATTGCTGCGGGGGCTGCCTTGTACATTGTAGGATTTTGAACAGCCACCCTGGCGTCACCCACTAGATGCCAGAGCCCCCCCACCTACAGTTGCGACAACCAAAATTGTCCCTAGATGTGATCATATGTCCCTTGTTGGGAAAAATTGCTCCCTGTTGAGATCCACTAGTCTGCGTGAATGTTTATTTCTCTTGTTAGTACTAGTTGAGAATCTAGGAATGTTAGGATAAGTGCGGGAACTGACTGCTTGGTGGAGATCTTCACAACCTTTGAGAAGCACCTAGGTGCCCAGCATAGAATAGAGGAATCCTGAAGAATAGCCTAGACAAAGCCCCCTGAGTCCCACCCTCAATTTGTGGAGCCCTAAGCTGGTGGCTCCCTGCTCTGCAATCCCAGTGTGGTACATGGGTTGTGTTATTTTTAGAAGATGAGGCTGTTTTCAGGTAAATAATTGGTCACCAGGGGAAACTATTTCATGTGGTAAATACTAGGGATTTGAATGTGCCCTTTATGTAGGGTCATTCAATTATTTTTCTTTGTTTTATTCATTGATATAAAATGACACATTTTCATTTCTTTTCCTGGAAATTCATGGTTAAGGACAAAATCAAATACATGTCATTTTCTAATTCCTCTCTTTAGAATTCAGAGGCATTTGGAGTGCTTGGAGTGCTTTCCCTTCCCCCTTAAAAGTAATATTAGGATTCTCTCTCTCTCTCTCTCCATTAACAAATAGAAGATTTTTGTCTTCTTTTAAAATAATGTTTAGTACAAGGATAGTCCAGAGCTCTGTTTCCACCCTCTCCTCCTGTTGCTATTCTGGGAATGCAATACAATCCATCTGTAAAATTGCACATAGGTTCCAGCTGCAGATCAAGCTGCTGGGGTTTGTTCACACCTTTTGGTTTTTTTTTAAATAGAAGAGAGATTTGCTCCCGGGCAATGTTGACCTTTGCTCCTTGTGTTTCAGCGTATATTTATATAAGCTGTGTGGCTGTGTCTTGATAATAGAATCTGCACTCAAGCCCCAGCCATTACTTAATTATTTAATTAGCCAGCCAATTCAAGAAAATGTTTATCTTCGTAAAATAAGCATCCTAGATCATTTCTAAGCCTTATATGAATAGCTCACATTTATTAAAAGTCTAGGTTGTACAGACACTAGGCTAGGGGCTCTCCACTGGCTATTTCAACTCTTTCTCACTATAAGTTTACAGGCAGCAACTGCTGGTGTCCTAACTTTATAGATGAGAAAAGTAATACCCAGAGCTTAGAGCCAGGAGGTGGTGCACTAAGAAGCAAAGCCGGAGATCCTGCCCCAGGAAGCTACTCTTCCTTACATATGTGCACCTCCTCCTGTTCCCCTCGTGCTCGGCAGACCCAACTAGGGCATGGGGAAATGGGAAAAGGAACTTTAAAACAGGCCTGGACAGGCCAGGTGTGGGGGCTCACACCTGTAATCTTAGTACTTTCGGAAGCCGAGGCGGGAGGATCTCTTGAGCCCAGGAGTTTGAGACCAGCTTGGGCAACACAGCCAGACCACATCTCTAAATTAAAAAACAAAAACCAGCATCTGTTATTTTTTGAGTTGTTGATAATGGCCATTCTGACTGGAGTTAGGTGGTATCTCAGTGTAGTTTTAATTTGCATCTCCTTGATGATTAGTGAGGTTGAACATTTCTTCATGTGTCTGTTGGCCGCTCGTATGTCTTCTTTTGAGAAGTGTCTGTTCATATCTTTTGCCCACTTTGTAATGGGGTTGTTTGTTTTTTTCTTTTTAGCACATGGGAATATACCCTGAAGAACTCAAATCACTCTATAAAAAAGATACTTGCACACGTATGTTTATTGCAGCACTGTTCACAATAGCAAGAACCTGGAACCAACCATGCTGTCCATCAAAAGAGGACTATATTTTTAAAATGTGGTACATATACATGATGGAATACTATGCAGCCATAAAAAAGAAAAAAATCATGAACTTTGCAGCAACCTGGTTGGAACTAGAGTCTATAATACTGAGTGATCTCTCACAGAAACAGAGATCTGAGTATCACATATTCTCACTCATATAGCAGATCTTGAACATCCATCGTAATACTATAAGAAAAGGATTGACAGTGGTGGGAAACTATGGGGGGACAGGGAGGGGAAGGGAGGTGGGATTAACGGTAGTCAATATCTGTCTGGGGACGGGGGGACACCCCTTATCAACAAGGGTGACTGAACGATGCATATTTATATGCCTAACCCTTAACTGTACCCCACAATTTTATAATAAAAAATATGCTTAAATAAATAAATAAATAAATAACAAAACCCAAAAATTCAGGGCTGGACAAGGCTGAAACGAGTGAGGCACAGGTCTCGCTAAAGTTGCAAAGTCCACCTACCATTTCCTAAAGGCATGTAGTTTTCAAAGATCAGTAATCACTGCCCTCCGTTGGTGTTTGTAACTTGTTTTTTTCTGGTTTTTTTTTTTTGCCTCATAGACCCTTTGAGAACTCAATGCCAGCTATGAACTCTCTCACCAAACAAGTGCATATTCACAGCACATTTTCCAATATCAGGGAGTTCTTGAATTCTCTGAAAAACCACTGCTCAGGAGGTTTCAATTTTGTTCCTGCTATATTTTTTTCAAGAAGAAATGAAATGTTTCAAACATTAAGGAATTTCTCTTTTCCCTAAGGAGCAAAGCAAATAGCAAACTAAACAAAACGAAAGAAAACAAAACAAACACAAGATAGCAAAACACCACAATTCAATAAAATGCTGCTATTTTTTCCCAAAAAACCACTGATCGACTAGTTAACAATTTTTCTCATGCCCTTCCTTCAGGTGTCATTAAGATACCATCAGCTAATAATGTGTTGAATTTTAAGCACCTCTCAGAGAGGAAACATATTCACTTTATAGATGAGCAAGCTAAGACCTCCTCCATTCCAACTTTGCTTTCCTTCCTCTTCCTCTCTTTCCTAAAGACAAGGTCATGCAGCAAAGGTACTGGCAGAGCCTTGTGAGCCTTCAAGCTTCTTGACAATCTGCTCTAGTTTTCTTCTACGTTGCAATCCATAAAAACAATGACCTAACAGATAACAACTAAAAAAAGATAACAGAAGTTGAAAATGCATTGTTTCTTGACCATATTTTACAATTCTCCATATGGAATTCTCCATTCCATATTCTCTACCTCTTCATAGTAAACCAACCAAAAGAATAACAAAGGACTCAGTCCTCTCCCTATAGGGGTTAGCTAACACCATTCCTATGCTGTGCTTGTGTGGTTGTTTACTCAATCCCTAGCTTAAATTCAGTCTCTTCCATGAAGTCATTCCTAACTTTGCTGGCTCATGTGCATCACGTCTTCTCTGAATGTCTGCAGTGACTCTGCAGCACATCCCCTAATCCTATATTTGCCTTTGTCCTCACTTCCTCCACCTCCTGGATGCCACAGTATCCTGAGAACTGTCATTTAAAAATCTCTGAACAGTGGTCATTGGTTTAGAAGAACTCTGTGTAGGTGCTCAGGACATGCATAATTCAAATACCAAGGCCATTCTTACATGGAAATATTTATAATGGGAATTGCTGTTGTCCAGATTGTCATTGACACAAAAGCCTCCTAACTCACCCTCCCTCTGTCTCTAGCCAGTCTACAGCATGGATCACATAACCTGTTAGCTGAGTCCTTCCAAAGATTCATGGCTTAAAAGAATCAAATGCCTGCCCCCTCACAGAGGCATTCAGCACTCTGTGGTCCCATTTTCCATCATCTCCTTCAGTACTTCACTGCTACTTCACTGCTACTCCAGTCCAAGATGGCTGCGTGGGCTATTTGCTTTCCTGTCACTGTTAACCAATTCATGGAGGCAATGCTATTCTTATATTTCTCCTGCTGCTAATATTTGGTTGTTAGTCTTTCGTTCTGATGCAAGGTTTAGGTCAAGAGTGTCTACAAACCCTTGCAATCCCTTGCTTTCTTGTACAACTTTACTGATAATGGGATGTTTTCATATTCCAATAGTAAACTAGGCCCCTCAACCACTGTGCAGTTCCAGCTGAAGATTTTTCATTCCCTAAGTTCAGATGGTTAATAGATTTGTTCAACAACACATGGTCAGTGTGTCATAAAGTCACCAAATGCTCTCAACCAGGGATAATTTTGATCACCCAACCGAGGGGAGACTTGGCAATGTTTGGAGATACTTTTGGTTGTCGCAACTTTGGGAACAGGGGGAATGTGCTGCCATTGGCATTTAGTAGGTAGAGGACTATTAGAGGGATATTGCTAAATAACCTACATTTAACAGGACAGCTCCCATGACAAAGAATTATCTGGCCCCAGATATTAATTGTGCAGAGGCTGAGAAACTCGGACTTAAATCTCCAGTATAGTTTTTTTCTTCCTTCTAGTTTCTATTCTCTTCATGTTTTTTTCTCGGTAAGTTAGACTGGCTTGGGTTTGATGCACATCTAGGACTTCACTAGTCAGGAGACCAACCCGACCACTAGCCAGTATGATGACTTTGTGCCAATTGAAAAAAAGGAAGCCTTTCCTTCAGATCTTGTACTATCATCTGTTGGGACACTGTCCTAATAACTGTGCAAGTCTACACTGACTATGACACCTCCCCCAAAGTTGTGAAATGCATAACTTAACTACTTGCACAATCTTCAGTGGAGGTTCTCTGTGGGATGCTGGGTAAGTTAATTAGCTCCTCTGGTCCTCAGTTTCCACCTCTGAAACGTGGGGACAATGATACTTCTCTTGATTATTAGGAGAATTATCATATATATGATATATATAGACTATAACACAAAGTCAGCACGTAGAAGGAAAGACATAAATGTTAACTCGTGTTCCAGCATGCTAAGTTTCATTTACGCCTACACAACAATATTTTCTTCTTTTTGGCATAGGCAATGAAATCTTGTTCAACATTTGAACTGAAAGAATATCTGAAAATGAATCTAAAAGTGCAATAGTGAGTTTGATTGGACTTTTTACTTTCCTCAACGCCTTCTTAGTCACTTGAGACCTGACTTTCTCCTTCTCACATGGTACTTGAGAATTGTCAAAAAAGCAACGAAAGTACCTATAAACACAGAGGTCTGCCTTTACCCAGCAATTAGACAGATGACTCTACAGTTCGTGTTATATCTGCAGTCGATAAAGGCTGACATTCAGACGAGTAATAGAACTACTTAACAATTATGAGAATTACAGTATACTCACCGAAGGGCTGTGTTTGCTGAAATAAGGTGTCAGTGCCATATTACGAAACATGAAGCCAGCAGGGGTTTCACTAATTATAACTACTATAGAGGTAAATGGCTAACTCAAGTAAGTTCCATTCTCACACACACACACAGGCAGGGGGAGGAGAAGAAATGCAGAATTGCCTTTCTAGAGTAGAGAGAAAAAATTATATATGACTACGTCCTTTGGAAAGAAATCTGACAAACACAGAACTGGATTCACAATACAGTTGAGATCTGCTTAAAAAGGATTTCAATAAATGTTCCTGTGGTTGAGTAAGTTTGGAATGCCGCTGGCCCCTTCTTGTTGATTTACACTGGGTGCTAGTGTATTACAGGGTCTGAAGTTTCCTGGGGAATCCGAGGTCACTGAGAAGGATGACTGCATGATGTCAAAGAGGGAAGGGGATCTCTTGTTAAGGTGAAGATTAAATAGGCTGCATGATAGCAGGTCACTTAAAATTGAGGCCAGCATCTTTTTTGTCCAAGGATAAAACTGAAAAATATTTTGAAGTATGTGAATGTGACCAAAGAGAACAAGAGTCTGAGACCTCAGATTAGGTGTGTGAGTGGGTCACCCTGAAGCTTGAGTGGGGATCAGGCCCAACAAGAACATATCTAAAGGGTCTGTAAGACTATGGAGAACCTGCTTTCAGCAGATGACACCATGTGACATGGAGATGCACAGGTCAGCAGATCAGACCTTCTAGTTCCATATACATCTGGTTTGGAAGTAGAGCTGACTCTCCCTTGCACTAAGCAAGTCCCTATTTTGGAGAGGATTTAAGGATGGAAACAACCCATTACAAGGGGTATGCTAGACATCTTGGTAATAGTACACATGGGAGCTCCAGGGACAAACTGGAATAATAAAGAAGTGGCATAATATTGGGGCTCCAAGTTAAAGAAGCAGATAAAATCAGTTACAAGAGCCAGCAATCTCTTTCCACCTCCATTACTCCACTTTTACATGGTTGCAAGGACCTCTGTAGTTTATTGTTTGTTTTCTTCTCACAAATGGAAGTCCAGAGTCTTGTCTTTTCATCATGGACAATGACAATCTCATTTGAAAGCATCCTTGAAACATATTAGAAAGTTAATGGCTCATGTGCTCTTAGCAACCGTTCCTTCAGAGAAGGTCCTGCATTACTGTCTTCCTATATAGACAGCTAGGTTGGGAAAGTGTAATTTCATTCAGGTGAAACGATTGACCATATTGGTGGTACATCCTTTTAAAATGAGAGAAAATAAAAGTCACAGTGTCTATGGCAGCAAACGGGTCATACCTCTTGCCCATCTTTGTTGATGTTGTCATCGGCGTGCCTGGCCACGATGGATAGGAACTGTAGGAGGCGGTGGAGGGTGTCACAGTTGCAGGGAGGTAGAAGGTAGATGAGGAGCTGCAAAGTGCCCAGCTGTTCCTCTGGCTCCAACACTACACAAGGCAAAAATAAATGCTCTAAGTAAAAGGGGAGCTTGCACCATTCAGGCACGGAGGAAAGGCCTCCTCTCAATTGCCTTAAGAAAGGAGCTATCAAGGCAAGTCTTATTTCATGCCTTCACGCATTGCATTACCAATTTAGCAGCAAGATTCTATTAAAGATATAAAGACAAATTAGACCTGGGGAGCTGTAACATCTAGAAAAATCATTATACTCCCAGTATATTATAACTTAATTTTCAATTTTTCTCCCTCTTTTCCCTGGTATCACCCATCACCCACTTTAAGAATTTCAGTCTTTCATTGTTGGTAAGTATTTACTAACAATTGCTGAGAATTGGTGACATTTTGAAATTTGAGTTTATAAAATATTTAAGGCTCTTTTCTATTGAGTAATACACAAAGAACAGACTTTTTGTTGGCAATAACCAAGACACAGCACAAAGACAGTCTTCTCTCTCTGTTGTGATCCTATTTGAATCGTAGCATTGGAGGGAGAAATGTAGGGAGGCTGAACCAGCTCTGGCCTATCCATTCTCCCCTTCCCCCTCCTTTTCTCCTCCACGGGATCTGTATCTGGTACTGGACTATGCCATCTTGCTTCCCCTGGAATGTTGTCTGCCTCTTTTTCTCTCTTTGGGTTCCTGCGGTTCCCTCTTAACTCGTGCTAGAAACACAAACACATTTTCAGGCACAGACTCAATGTGAATTCTTGTTGGTACTCCAAAGCACCAATTCAAAGCACTTTCTACTGTCCTGGGGTCATTTGGAAGCATCCCAAATTCTTCTTGGCTGTTTCCATTTAGTTTTATGACAACTTTATTCTTGCTAATTCTCCCAGGGTAAATCTCAGATAATTCCCCAAATAGCCCACTCATTAGAGACTGATAAATAAGGACACAAGGAGCTATCAGGAAATACATGCACAAGGTTTTAATGAGTGGGCTGGACATCCTGGTACTCCAAGACCACATTCCCACAGATGGCTGCATTACGCACAGAGAGTGTTGATGAAAGCTGTGTATAGCTCCCTGGTGAGAAGGGGGTCTGGCATGTCCCTCAGGAACTCTTTCAGCAAGGCTGCCACATCATGAACACTGTGCTCCTCTTCCAGAGAGACATCAATCCCACGGTCAAATTCCTCACGTAGCTGGAAAAATAATGATTCAAGTGGCAGTCACATAACATCATTCCTCAATGTGCCAGTGCCCAGCAAAAGAAGTGCTGTCACATGCAGCATCTAGAATTACGTTTGCACAGACCTCCCCAAATGAGAAGCAAACAGCATCTCACCTTGATCTGCAAGTCTACACAGCCCAATTATGAATATATATATATATATATATATATATATATATATATGGATACATCTGTGGAATTACTGTTAATGATATAGGCAAAGGGGTTCAATAATGACAACCAGAAGATTGAGAGGAAGAGCTAAGGGGTAGAAGGTAATTTAGGTCAACTGTAAATGTGAGAGGGAAGAATTAATCTATTATGTAACAGTTCTGCGTGTCACCAATCCTGTCATGTTTGAATGTTGATGTTTTACCGAGGTACTCAACAAGAAAGCAAAGAGATTTTTCTGCAAACAATGAAATTAAGAAACCTGATAAGATATTCATGACTAAGACTTAAAAGATGACAATAATTAAATAAAAGCTGTCTTAGGTTTGTCAAATAAGCCTTATTAACAATTACCAGGATTCTCTGCTTTAATCATTTTACTAGGTCTGTTAGCATTTAAAGTAGCAAGAAAACACAATGGCAAGAAGAAGGGAGTAATAATTCCACACCGCATTTTTATCTCTATCAGCTCAATTTTTCTTATGCATTGTTCTCTGCTGGAGAAATAATTATATAAATTAATGAATCTACACTATGTAATAAACTTCTTTAAGAGTTCATTTGTTCAATCATCCATCCATCTGTTCATTTAACAATGATTTACTGCACATTTCCTGTGTACCAGGCCCTGCTATAGGACCTCAAAATATACCGATGAATAGAGTCCCCACCCTCCTCAATCTCCCTGACTGGTAGAGAGACAAAGTGACAAACAGATAATTTCACAAATGATTAGCTCTTAATATTGTGACTAGTGTTCTGAATAAAAAGTGTAGGCTGCTAAGAGGTGATATAACAAAATAAAATGGTAAGTTAAAGCATAATTCACATTTGGAATCTAATTCTAAGTAAATACCAATTATACTTTTTTGGGATAATCCTTAAATAAATCTCTATGCAAAGGATTTCTCTTTGATGGACCCAGATATAACTGATGAATAATATCTGGCACTTGCCACCTGTCCACCTGATGAGAATACCCATCACTGTCCTGAACTGCTCGTTGATTCCAGAAAACTCGCCATCAGCATGTATCACGCAGCCAGAACAAAGGCTTCCTTTGGCACCCCTCCAAATTGTGGTCATGCAAACACACCATATTTCCTTTCTGAGCATACACACAGGCAGGAAGAAAGGATCCTGAAAACAGCTTGGCTTATGAAGTGAAGAGTGACTGGTTAAATCATGTGATCTTGACTTAAGTTCTTTGCTCTTTCTAAGCCTTGACAGAAGTAGGTGAAAGAGACTTCTCACAGCTGGTGGGGGGATTCAATGAGATAATATTGTGAAGATATTCTGCAACTTTGCACAGGTGAGAGGCTTAAGAAATGTCATTGTAATATCTTCCTTCCTGCAAGTCCTGTTGTAAAGCATTAAATGTTTTTCAATAGTTTTTTTGTGTGATTATTAGAATAAAAACCAAATAACCAGCCAGAAAATATTCTTTTGAAAACCCTTTTGTCATGACAAAAAAGATATATGACAAGGTATTTTCAATAATATGAACGAATATCATTTCTTTAGCGTTATCCAACTAAAATTTATTTTCACTTGACTTCATTTTTTGAGTTGCCATGTTCCGTATTTCTTTCTGTTGGAGCCAACGAAGGAAGAATAACAATTTAATTTTCTTTCACCAACAAATAAATTCTTTTCTTAACGGATGGGCAGCCTTTTATGAAGCCATCATGAACACACATTCTGTCTGATCACACAAACCTATTCGTGAAGGTCTAATATCAAACTTGTGTTGCAGAAATGTTGCATAGTGCTCAAGAAAACCCAGGGGCACAATTTCCACATGAAAAATGAATTAAGGACCAGTGGTTCCATGGAAACATAATAAGAATTATTTATTTTTGAGAAAGTAAAGCTATACACATAGCATCTTATGTGAAGAGAATGTTAATGGCATTTTTCATATCACATTTTAGTAAAAATAGGTGCAATACAATTATTCCCTCCCTCCCTCCCTCCCTCCCTCCCTTCCTCCCTTCCTTCCTTCCTTCCTTCCTTCTTTCTTTCCTTCCTGTCAGCATCTCACTGTAATCCAGGCTGGCGTGCAGCGGCATGGAGAGGACCACAGCAGCCTCGACCTACCAGGTTCAGGCAATCATTGCGCCTCAGCCTTCCAAGTAGCTGAAACTACAGGCACGTGCCACCACGCCCAGCTAATTTTTTTATTTACTGTAGAGACGAGGTCTCACCAAGTTGCCCAGGCTGGTCTCGAGCCCCTGGGCTCAGGCAATCCTCTCCCCTCCACTTCCCAAAGCGCTGGGATTACAGGCATGAGGCACCATGCCCGGCTTCTACAATTATTTTCTATCACTTATTGATTAGACACTCTGAATCTCCTGCATTTGTCATTTCAATAAGATGTCTACAAATTACTTTTGTCTGACGGGACATGGCATGGCCAAATGCAGTGCTTGATTCTAACTCTAGCAACCTTTCTGAGTTTTTGTTGCCCTTTACCTCCTGGGACTCAATTATACTATAACTGGTTGGAGGGTAAAAAATATATATTCAGAAGAGAATTTGCATAAACTTGAGCTTTGTACTAGGTAAGTTGATTGAAAATCAAGTGAAACGTAAAATATAATCTTCAGTTTTTACTTACTTGTCTCACTCTCTTTTTTGAGCTCCCAACTCGGAATATCCCCACTGTCTGGAGGCCTGCAAATAAGCAAACAAAGTCAACAGTCCTGTTTTATGCCTTACAGTTCTGGAAGAAATAAAAATAGAAAGAGAGCGGAATGCCAGAATGGTGTTGTACCATGAAGAACAATAATTATGATAGCGTAGAGTAATTCTTCTTCCATCCAATAGTATTTTCCGAATAGAGGTCAGCTCTTTAAACACGAGAATCATTTTATGTTAATTGTTTCTGAGGAAAATTTTTCCATGTGACATCATATATTTCTATATTTTTTCTCCATATGAGAGAAAATAATGGAGTGTTTTCTTCATTGTTCCTAATAATTACCTAAACATAAATTTTATAGGGATTTTAACTTTTTATCAATTTTTAAAATCGATGTTTCTTGTTTGTCTGATCATAATTAAAATGTACTTCTTAAAGAAAACCTAAAAAATACAGAAAAAAGTGAAAATAATATATTTTTTAAAAATTGATTCAGAAATAATCACTCAATTTTTTTTATAATTAATATTTTTTATTATGATATTGTGGGGTTAGGTATACAAATACGTTTTGTTCAGGCATCCTTGTTGATAAGAGGAGTTTCCCCATCCCCAGACAGATATTTACTACCGTTAATCCCATCCCCCCCCGATAGTTTCCCACTACTGTCAGTCATTTTCTTATAGTAATATTTCAGGGTTTTTTGTTTTGTTTTGTTTTTTGAGACAGGGTCTTGCTCTGTTGCCCAGGGTGGAGTGCAGTGGCATGATCACAGCTCACCGTGGCCTCAAACTCTTGGGATCAGGAGATCCTCCCACTTCAGCATACTGAGTAACTGGGATTACAGGTGTGTACCACCACATTCGGCTATATTAACAATAATAACAGTTGTTATTGTTTTCTGTAGAGACGAGGTTTCACTATGTTGCCATGTTGCCCAGGCCGGTCTCAAACTTCCAGCATCCTCCTGCCTCAGTCTCCCAAGGTGTTGGAGTTACAGATGTATGCTACCATGCCTGATCTTTGGTTCATTTTTTGCTCAGCCTTTTCTCCATGAATGTATATATTTTTACATAGTTGAAATCATTCTCTATATAAATTTATCTATTGACAGAGAGGATGATACTGCCTTCCCTCACTATTATATTACAAGAATTTTCATGCCAATAAGAATTCCTTGTAAATGTCAACTAAAATGGATGCAAAATATTTTATTCTGTGAATGGACCACAGCTTATTCCATATTCCTCTCTGTTTAGCATATAGGTCTCTCCAAAATACACATTTGTCTTGCTATTGTAAATAATTCTACTGTGAACAAGTCTGCATACATGTTTTTGTTCAGATTTGTTCAGATTTCTGATTGATCATGTCTTAGATGCGAGACTATAGGGTTAACATACACAAAATGTCAGTAGTGCTTAGGTTGAGAAACCCAATTTTAAGAAATTAGGTCTCTTAAAAAACACAAGTAATATCACTACTGTATATTAGAAATTTCAACACTAGTTCCTTAACAGCGTTACATTTCTAGTCAACATCCACATAAGGTTCACAAACTGTGATATTATCAATGTGTTTTCTAGTCACTTAATTTGTATATCTCCCCCTCTCTGTTTTTAATCCTCATAATTTGCTTTGGTGAAGACATAGCAGTGATTTCCCACTGTAGATGTCTACACTGTCTGGATTTGGACACCCTACATTGTCATTTATGTGTTCTTTTCTATCCTTTATTTCCTATAAATAGATAGTTAGAGCTAGCTCTCTGGTTCAGGTGTGATTTATTTATTTATATTTATTTATTTTGAGGGCAAGAATACTTCATAAGAGGTACTGTGTACTTCCTTCAGGGGGCACAGAATGTTTGAATGTTTCTCCCTTTTCTATGCCAGCCATTAATCATCACCACTGATGAGCAACATCTACATATTTCCTTTCATTGGAGGCTCATTTTCTCTTCATTTGGGATCATCATTCATGAGAATGACGTCAGACTGGAGCTACTAATGCTCATTTGAAGCCACATGAAGACAGTTAGTCTCAGAGTAAAGTCAGTAAACAGAGAGCACTCATAGCATCATTTAAGTCCTGGACCCTGCTGTGCCTAAAGTCATCAGACGCCCAGTATACAAATAAGGATTGTTGCTGTTGTCCTTGGGGGTAAGGACAATTTGTTTAATCTAGTTTTATCTGGATTTCTCTCTCCTGCCATTGGAAGAGCTCTGACTAGTACAATATACAATTAAATTGGAAATAATTTAAATCTTTAGAACATTACTTCTTCCTATCTAGAAACAAAATAAACATCTTAATTTTTCTAAGTTGTGTTCCATATCTCTTGATAGAGCATTGATGTTTTCTTCATAGAAGCTTCTTACTTATTATTGCAGATATTCTGGATATATTTTGGGTATTAATATAAATAAATCATTTGTATAGTATAACTGATTATTGCTCTTATATACTTTTAAATTTTGCTCTTTTTATATTGGAAATGGATGTGACTTTGTAAATTTATTTTATGGTTTTACTAAGTTTTTTTTAGTTAGAAAAGATAACATCTATAAATATCCCATTTATCAGTTCTATATCTTACAAGTATTATTCTAAATTTTCAGAACAGTTTGGAAGAATCACAGTGAGAGGCTAGCTGTTGCTGATTCACGTAAGCACACATTGGTGCTTTACCCTTGAGTGGAAGGTTGCTTTGTATCAGTTTTCAAAAGACTTCTGTACTCTCCTTGCCACTGACATCAATTTGTCTGACTCATAACTGAAGTCAGCCCCCAACCTAATGTATTGTTTCTGCCTTTCTGGGAGCAACAATTTAGAATAAAATACGATTTATATGTACATCTTCATCTGAAAAATCGGCATAATGAGTACCCATCTCAAAAGCTGTGCAATGATTCAATTAATTAATCCATATAAAATGCTTTGAATAGTATCTGGGCGTATTATTATACATCTAGAAACAGGTCTTGAATGAACTGAATGATTTTCTATGTGAAAAATAGAAAACTTCTATAGTAGGTTTAATAATTTTAATTTTGGTTGCATTTATTTTCTTATTCTCAGATTGTTTCTGAAATGTTGAAATGTGTACAGAAGCATGATCACATACGGGCATTTTCTACACAAGTGTGACTATTTATTTGGTTGAAATTCTCCAGGTTGTTCAGAATGTCCATTCCTATGACATTATTTCTTCAGTTATAGTACTTTTCCATTTTGTAACAATGTTTGTGATTTAAAAAAAAAACAACTAGTTCGTAACTAGTTAGTGTGATTGCTACAGTTCTTATGTACCTCAGATGACTATACTCTCTTTTAACCCATTTAAAATTTAATTATTTTAGGCAGAGCAAACGACAATCTTTAGCAAGTCAATGTTTTTTTTTTTTTTTTTCCTGATGTAGCCTTACAGTAATTTTCCTCAAAGAGAAGATACAGTCTAGGTATTCAATAATTGACTTAAGACAGTCATTGGTAAGACCAGGTGTATGTTTAAAAAAGCATAGATTTGACAAAGAAATGTAACTTTCTGTATCTTGTCCCAGAAATTCATCTGATTACCTTTCTCCCTTTTCCATCAGAAATGCCTGGGTCTCAGGCACAGTGAGCAGTAGGCTTCACCCCCAAATTAGCCTAAAGTCAAGAGATATGATATAGTTTGACTTACTGCTGCTTTTTTGTCTGTTTTTCTGAAATAAGTGCTTCTGGAAAATTGAGGATGCTTGAGGAATTTTGATCTAACTGTACAGAAAGGATTTGGGTGAAATATAAGTGAGGAAGCGTTGTGCATATAAATATAAATAGGGCCACTCTAATTGTCCAAAACCAGCTTTGAAGAGGGTGAACAACACTTTTGACCAAGGTTTATAAAGCCAAAATGACTCAAGCTGTCTGCTCCCCATTTCAAAAACAGGCAAATAAATTCTTAAGAAAGAAATACTTTTGAATTTTTGCTCTTTGTTCACTGGTTTAAAATGAACAAGGTCAATATCTGTTTGAATTTGAACAAGTCTCTTATTTTTCTGGAGCCATTTGGTCGAAATCTGGATTAGAATCTGGGCCGCAGAAGACCAACCAGTTATCTTCTTGCCTGTGAATTACATGTTAATTATCCCCCAAAAGACTGTGAAACTGTCCTGTTTTTAAATACACTGAAGGGAAGCGCTATTTTACAAACTGTAGTTCATGATCATTTATTTTCAAGAAAAAAATAAAAAGACATACCAAGTTTTCTTTCAAAAGAGCAATTACTCAACCCGCCAAGGAATTTTTGCATGACTGGGGTACGATTTTCTTGCTTAGAATTCATTTCTTCAAAGGTTACGATAGAGTAATTTTCTTTTAGTTTTAAAAAATATTATTTCAGAATGTCAGGCAATTTTTCAGAATAAGCAGTGCATCACAAAAGTTGTTTAAAAGCCTGTACTTAAAGGACATCTTTACACAGAAGGCATGGGAGCTCTAAATCCACATAGCTCTAGTTGTTTAGAATTCTTTACAACTCTTACAGTTTGCTCTCTACATTCTTTACAGGAAAAATTCAATTCTAAATGTATATGTCTCTTTTCCTACCACAAAGTTAAATTTGGGCTGAGTTCACATATTCATAAGTATTGAAATCTATGGTTGTTAAGCTATTTTTCAAAAATAATTCCATTCAATATACCAAAATATGGATGTTAGCTATTTTTGTCTTTGCTTGTAAACTAGGGGTAACTTTTTGCCCTCTTTAGGCTTCCTTTGTTTTCTCCAACTTTTGTATTTATCAGTATGTACTCTTGTGATCATGGACAAACATTTAATAGGCTTTATTAAAATACTATCACAAAGGCTCAAAAATTTTGTTCAAATGACATTTACTGAACACCTACATTGTGTTAATCATGACAGTAAGTGCTGGGAATTCAAAACGACAGACATTTTCTTTGACTTCCAGTTAATTTTTCAAGGAAGAGACAGACAGATAATCATATGTATATATGTACAGACACACAGTCATGAGTCCCTTAATGACAGGCATACATTCTGAGAAATGCGTCATTAGGCAATTTCATCATTGTGTGAACATCATAGCACAAAACCAGATGGTCCTGCCAGCTACACACCTAGTCTATATGGTATAGCCCTTTGCTCCAAGGCTACAAACCTGTACAGCATGTTCCTGTACTGAACACTGTAGGCAACTGTAGCATAATGGTAAGTATTTGCATATGTAAACATAGCTCAACATAGAAAAGGTACAGTAAAAATACAGTATCATAATTTTATGCAATCGCCGTCATCTATGTGGTCTACCATTGACTTTAATGTCATTATGTGGCACATGACTGTTGCATATGTGTCCATATCTATGTCTATGTCTATATCTATATCTATATCTATATATAGAGAGAAAGTACATAGGTAATATACAGGCATGTGAAAGATAAGGTGAAAAAATAGAGGAAACTACACTTAATATTTTGTATTAATAAATACGATTTGAATATATTAATTTTATTAAGTCACTCAAAGGTTATCCAGTGATTTCCATATATAGTGAGCTATTTAAGAAACTTAGATATTTCTTTAACAATTTTTGATAAAGTTCCATTTTTTAGAAGGAAATAGATGAGAATGTGAACAGACGTTATGTCTACATGGTAGCCTCAGAATTTTCTTTGCTTTCCCATTTACTTTTTAAAATTACAACGAGCATATTACTTTTATAGTAAAAAAGTAATTAAGAAATCTTTCCTATGTCTATAAAATGCAAGCTAGCACTAGAGCAAACAAATTTATCTTACAGAAATGGCAGTTTAATGAACCAAAAATCTAAGTTTCAGAAAAATGTTTAAAGAAAGGTATACCATTTTCTCCTCCCTTCCCGAAAGGTATACCATTTTAAAGTCAGCATTTCAACTGGAATTAAGTTGCAGAGCATGACTGTGGTGAAAGCATAAATGACCTCTTTTACAAAAATGCAAACAGTAATGCGTAAACCTATTGTCAAAAATAATGTATTTTCTAGTCATTTAGGCAACAATTTCCAAATCTATTTTTTTGCAAAAGAGGGAGAAGCTGGACTCTTACTTTTTAAAGGAAACCTTGTGAATAACCTCAATGTATCAAAGATAAAAGTGGATCTGCTCGTTTTGAAGGGGATCCTAGGGACAGACACAATCCAACAGACCTGGTCGTTCCCTAAATTTCTTGGTCTCCAGGGTCACTTCTGAGGACTCTTGGGGACTGAGCAGTCTGAATACCATCAAGTTGATCCCTACTCCCCCCAATCTTGTTTAGTTCAGTAATGTCTTAAGCAGACACTCACATCCGTGCACTTTCTTTGCAAAGGAAATTTTAGTCCAGAGCCTGATCAAATGAACAGAATTGAAACTGGGTGCTTAAACGAATGATGCTTGAAAAAATGAAAATCTTTAGTACTTGATCACTGACAGACAAATCTATACTTACCATGTTTTTCTAGATGCTGACAGCAGCTGTCCACCAGCCTGGGAACCTGTCTGTAAATAGGATTCAGACTGAGTTTCTTATCTCTGGCTTTTTCTTTTTTATTTTGAGCCTCAGCCGGCAAGGAAAGTTGTAAAGCTTCTAGTAGTCGAGACTGATTGTCATCAAGATCGGTGATAGAGTCCACTGACATGGCACCCTGCAGATGACGCACAGGCATGAACAGAGTGCAGACAGAAAGGAAAAACAGCTGCCCTAAAATGCTAGCCAACGCATACTTTTACTCATAACTATTTATCACACTGAAATAATACTGCTTGATTGCATTAATTGTGCTGTTTGAATATCACAAGGAAAAAAATAAATGCCTTTTGAAAAAGTTAGGAACTTCCACAACATAGGGCAAGATAATGGCAGCTACAATTTCCACAATAGACAAAGTTTCCAAGTGGAAGACAAGAGATGGGAAACATATAATTAAAGTATTTTGGCCCAACCACTTTATTTCTTGAAAAAAGAAAAAAATCACATACTCAATGAATGAGGTAGTCAGAGAAATCCTGTGAACTAAAAATTCAACTCTGGCTCTAGGAAGTAGATTTTTTAAAATAGGAGGATTCTACAAAAAGGATCTTAGTTTAGTTTCCCCTAGAAGTAGCACAAAGTGCTTTATTAGGGAGGTGGTCCTGGGAAACACCTGTAGGGGAAGTGGTGAAATGAGGAAGGGAAGGCAGACCATGAAAGGAGCATTATCAAGCCTATTACTCTTAAGGGCAATTGGAGTTCAATCTCCCTGGGTAGCTCGAGGAGACTGTAGATCTGGCACCTCAGAGTTATCCCTACTAAGGAGTGAGGGAGCTGAGGTATTTATACACCAAGTCTCAACAATCATTGACTAAAGGCAGCCTCTGGTGGGGGCGGGGATATAATGTTATCTCCTTCATACCTGCAGCCTGCCATCAGTGTGGGCCAGGTACTTCTGGCATCAGAGAAAGCCCTTAGCAAAAAGATGAGGCACTGGCAGGTGCAAGGTTAGCTGGCATACTAGGAATGGTAAAGGCTCGGAGAAAGGGGTCAGGGCACCAATTGCATTTGCTATAGCTACCCACCATTGTGGGAGTGTAGAGGAGGAACTTGGCTGCTGGTTTCCTAGCAGGGCCTGGATAGAGGAGAAGACGTTTGGGAGACCCATTGCCTGAGCCCTAGATTCCCAGTAAGCTCAAATTGAGAGTTTTGGTGTTATTATCCTATGGGTTTTTACACACAGTCAGGGAAACAATGACAGATATGAAAGAACAATTTCATCATGCAAATTTAAGTATTCCATAATTTGGTTATTTCTCCATTTTTAAACATAGTCAATAACTGCAAAAACAGCAGTACCTCCTTCTACCTTGGAGAAGTCCTGAATGTTGGAGGATGGTTGAGAAATGTGGGTTTTAAGTGGGAAGTGCCTGGAGTTTTAACCAGGGCAGTGTTCAGTGACTGGAGGTGGCAAAGATTTAGGGTCTCCAGGCAAGGAAAAAGGGAGAGAAGAGCTCCCAGTGACCTGGGAAATTTTAGAGATGCTTATCAGCTGACTCGACCAACACCTGTCAGTTTGCCTGAAAAACTCAACTTGGCTTTCTAGGTTTAAAATTTGAAAAGCCAAGTAATATCACAGTGTCTAGAACATAGTATTCCTTCAATAATAGGTCCATATTGTTGTAATATTGATTTAAAAGAAAAAAATATATATATAGGATTCTAAGATTTTGTTTGAGAAAAAGAAATGCTCCACTGATAAGGAAAACCCTACAGCCAATTTATTTGGCCAGGAATGTTCTCAGACTGGTGATGAAGAAATTAGCAAAAACACTGGGCCCTGCCCTCAAGCCTCACAGTCAAGAGGGAGAGTCTGGCAAGATGACAGATCACAAGAGACCAGGATCAATGGCGATACTGCAGAATGTTTAGGTTATCATGGGGCACAGGATTAACCAAGGAGGGACACCCAACAGCTCTTTTTTTCTTCCTTTTCAGGATCTCACTCTGTCAGTGAGTGGCATGATCATGGCTTACCACAGCCTTGACTTCTTGAGCTTAGGCGACCCTTCCGTCTCAGCCTCCTGAGTAGCTGGGACTACAGGCACGCATGCCTGGCTAGTTTTTTTAAGTTTTTTTAGAGAGGAGGTCTGGGTGTGTTGCCTAGTCTGGTCTTAAACTCCTGGGCTCAAGCAATCCTCCTGCCTCGGACTCGCAAAGTGCTGGGATTATAGGTGTGAGCCACCGTGCCTGTCAACATCGAACAGCTTTGACAGGAGTAAGGAAAAAGTGTGACAGTATGCCAGGTGCCACATGTCCAGTGCAAATTCTCCCAGAATGAGGTTGTTGACAGATATCTGATCACAAACTACATATACAGATTTCACATGAACAAAAACCCAAAGAATAACCTTATACATCTTCAGTTTTCTAGCATTGGTGTCAGAGAAAGTACTGGTCAACTCACCCTCCTCCTGACCCGAGGAGCTGGTTCCGGGGTGTTTGGGGATGTTGACTCATTTGGTGTTTCTGAGGTTGAGCTGAGAGATGAGTTACTGCTTGAGAGTTCTTTGTTTTGTCTTTTATTTCCAAATGGGAGGAGGGAAGCCACAAAATCAGATGCGTCTTTCTGCTCGTCCCTCTGTGAGTCTTGCTTGAGTTTATAGGCCCTGTCATTTGCAATGACTTGGGATAAGGGCATTCCAAATGCCTGCGGGATGAATTCTGGAATCAAAAAACAGACATTTACTTTCAGAGACAGCCCAGACCAGTAAAGGCTCTCATCTATGTTTCAGACCTAAGGGTGGACATATTTAAATGATTGTTTTCTGAATAATTGATTCCTCAATCAAAATACAGAGATGATGGTTGTATTTATCAAAATGGCCAAAGTTTCCATTTCAAGAAAGCTGGTATGTACAAACACACATCTTACACATCTAGGTCTCTAGCTTTTCTCCACGTGTCTCAAATATGTTTTAAAATAAATAACATTACAAAGAAATGTAAAAACATTCTATTTTTGATAGAATGTAAATAATATTTTACCCTCATGAATACACACTTTTATAAAGTCTTAGTTTTTTATTTATGTCTCAGAAGTCTCTGAAGCCTGAAAAGCATGAGGACATTGTACTTATCCATACATTCAACAGACTTTTATTTTATTTTATTTTATTTTATTTTATTTTAGAGATGGGGTCTTACTCTGTCATTCAGGTTGGAGTGCAGTGGCACAATCATAGCTCACAGCAACCCCCAACTCCTGCGCTCAAGTGATTCCCTTGCCCCAGCCTTCTAGTAGCTGGTACAGGTGCATGCTATCACTTCTGGTTAATTTTTTAAAACTTTTGGAGAGATGGGGCTCTCTCTATTTTGCTCAGGCCGGTCTCAAACTCCTAGGCTCAAGCGATCTTCCTGCCTCAGCTTCCCAGAGATAGCTGGGATGATTGAGTCACCACACCCGGCCACAACAGGCATTTATTAAATACTTACTATGTGCCACTACAAGCTATGCACTGGGAGACACAAAGCTTATACAAGGTACAGTCCTTGCTCTTGAGGGTTTCAGAGCATGGAGTGGGATGGGGTGAGGGAGTGGAGAGTCAGATTTGCAAATTATTATAACAGAGTGACTATCATGTGTTATAAAAGAGTAATGCATGAAGCTAAGACTGACATTTAGTTAAGTGGGAACTTCGAGTTTCCCAGTAAGAGTCAGGATGTGAAATGATAACCCAAGAGGCAGAGGAGCAGCTTGGGAGCTGCTTGGGCAGAAGTGTGCTCGTCATCTCCACATCCTACCTCCAGCAGTTGGATTGAGTCTGTCACACTCATGATCTACACTCAAGCCATTCTACTGACCATGTGCAGAGAGGACTTGACCACAAGCAATCTGGTGGGAAGCCAAGGATACAATCTGTTAAATCCTCTAGTAAGGACAATTTGGGGGAAGGGGCATAACATAGAAATATATGGTTTTATTTGGGAATGTATACATAGTTGCTTTCTGTATCTTTGCAGTAAATCCGTTTGTGTGCATATATCTTGGATCTTTAGGGCCAGGTATTTTATTGGCAATACTTTAAAGTGCTGAAAAGAACTAGTAATTTAGTAAAATGCATTATTCCTTTCAGACTCCAAAGTAGGTTTCCTAGCAGCAGAAAATTGGAGTCTACCCTCTGTATCAGTTTTATAAGCTCTATGAATGAGACCAGAATGATCAAGGGAAAATAATTCAAAGGTTATTTGTTCTTTGAAAGTAAAAGCTAACACTAAATAAGGTGGACAGAGGCTTTCAAAGTTTTGCTTCCTTGATCCATGGCAACACTTTTAACCTGACTGGGCTAATGGCCAAGTCTACATTAAAAGCAGAAATGCTACTTGAAAAGCCTGCACTTCTGGTTTTATCAAAACATGCAATTTGTTTTGAAGTAAAAAAAATCAAAATTTCAGCATTTTGGGATTTTTCAGAGGATGCTTGCCATTCTCTATCAACAAACTAGGTGACATAAGGTAGTACAAATAGTAGGCATTTCTTCATCGAGTGATTAATGTGGCCAGTGTGGTGAGAGCCAACACTCACTACTGATAAAAGGCCGTGTCTACTACTAGAAAAATTGGGAACCCAAGGGGACAGTATCAGACCACTTGTTGTGTACCTTGAAGGCTTATTATATAAACCAGTGCTATCTGTGGAAATAATCAAATATTCTTATTTCAAAAAGGCTGGAAAAATCTGGAAACACATGGATGGTAAGTCTGACAACTACATGAAATAACAGAAATGATGGGGTATTAATAAGAACAAAAAGAACACTGATAAATGTAGCAAGTAACACATGTCTGCTCAGGTAGACATACTCATAGTAGGGATTTACTATAAGAAGGGGCCTACTGAATCCTTTTCCAAAATTTTTTCCATATAAGGAAAACCAATCAGACTTATTTAGAGAGTTCTTATATCTCTTGAAAAAAAGAAGAAAAAAAGGTTTCCTTTGGACCCTATCATTTTTAATATCAAAAGTCTACCACTCTACTTGTAACTTAGAATCATTGAATACAAATTAAACTGGTGAGATACATGAAGTCATTCTCCAATGATTTTTATTTCTCTTTTATTTCCATTCAAGAGATGTAGCCACCCATAACAGATTTTTATTTCTCTCTAATAGGCTTCCTTTTCTGCCTAAGTTTATTCTTTCAATGGCAGAGTTTTGAAGCCGTCTTTTTGATTTCTTGTTGCTTTCTTTCCCAGAAGACTCTTGCAAGCTTCAGAAACTTCTCTATGCACAAAACTTACATTGCAGAGAATTTTTATTCTCTGTAAAATTCTAGGCAGGATTCCTGAATATTATTTCTTCTAAAAAATATGGCTATTGTGAAATTGAGGCAGCATCCCGAGACTATAGAGCAAAACCCCTTTTTATGTGTAAATAAAGTGTTGGGGACACATGTTTATCTGTGAGTTCAAAGTTCTTCTGCTAGGGGAAAAAATAACCTCAAGACTCATTATGCTAACAGGGTGAATAAAGTCGATCATAGGTTTTTTAAACAAGGAAATTACCCAGACTCACTGTGCTGGGGTCAGGGATGATGAATATCATGTTCTAACCTTATGGCATGTATTCATCAAGGATACACTTTCCGCTGTCCTCATTAGTGGTGACTGCCTACTCTTCCTCTCTGTGAACCTCGAGGTCAGAGGTCAGAAGGTAGTGCATCATTCTCTTTGCACCCTACTGCTACTTCCAGACCTTCATCCTTGTACCTTGTGACAGAAGCCTACTACAAGGTTCCTTTTATCCCCTGATCATTGTTATCTTCTGTGGTCATTTACTTTGGTTCACAATCAGACCCCCAATGTACCATTATTTTGAATGACTTGTATATCCACCTAAATGACCCACCTTACTCTCTGTCTTCACTCCTCCTTCACTTACTTTCTCCTGCATTCCACTTTGTCACCCACTCTCTCAGTCCCATCCTGGACCTTGTCCTCACCAGAAGTTATTCCATCTCCAGAATCAGGTTTCTGAGCTGACCACAGCTCTTATCCTTCCGGCATGCCCTATCAGCTCATCCTGCTACCAAGAGCCCCCCACTGCACTGATTCCTGCACAGTTCTCTCCGTTAGCCCCTGCCAATTGATCTTTACTCTCCTCCTAACTGGAGTTCTCCTCACCCCAGTCCAGATGCACTCAAGAGTCTGCCCCCCAGTGGCTGCATTTGGGTGTCTGCCAGAGCACATCCTTGCCTGGTCGGGACAGACACCATGACATGCCATGTTCCCCAGCCTCAGCCAGGTCCTCAACATTCACAAGCAGCCCCATTTCCTTTTTCTAGTTGATTAATTTCCACCATTCTCCTTAAGAACAAGTTCCACCACTCCATTCACCTGAAACCTCAGATTTCTCAGCAGTCCCTCCCCAACAGCAAATGGTTCTGCCTCCTTCTTCAGTACAACAATCAGCAGGTGTGAAGGCTCCCACTCTTCACGCCTGCTGTACCTGTGCTTTCCCCCAACCTTCCTTTGCGTGATATGGAGGTGTGACTCTGTGTCCTGCCAGGCTTTCTGCCTCACTCCAGTTCCTACGCTCCCCAACTTCCCTTTAACTATTGATAGCTTTAAACCATAGATAATGATGTTGGCAAGTTGCACAGTCTCTATTGTAACTATTCAACTATGTCAATCTAGTAGGAAAGCAGCCACAGGGAATAAGTATGTGAATGGGCATGGCTGTGTTCTAATAAAGCTTTATTTACAAAGACAGCTAGCTGGTGGGTCATCTCCTGCTATAAATTACATCTTCTTGTGCCTGTATCTTAAACCTCTTTCCTAATAAATATTTTATATTAAATGTGTTCAAGTAGCTCCTTCGTTAAAAAACATAACCTTTGACCCACCCTATTTTTCTCCTCAATGGTTTACCATCTCTCCTTTCTCCACAGTTAACATTCTCTAAAGTATTACCTTTACTTTCTGTCCTATGCGTTTCTCACTTGCCACACCTTCCTCATCTCATCTAGTCTAGTTGACATCTCCAATGTTATTCTAGAACAGATCTCTCAAAGTCATTGCTGACTTCAAGGTCATTATCCAGTGGTTATGAAAGCCCTGAACCTTCATGGTCACTTTTTGAAATACTCTGTGTCTTTTGCATCATGGATATACTAACTGGGTTTTTTTCCTACCTCTTGTCACTCTGACCTGTCTCCATAAATAGTATGATCCACACCCACAACTCCACTTTCCATCTATAGGAATTTGATACCTCATTGCTACTTCCAGCTTGGACCTCTCCTCTGAGCACCAACTACTTCTTCCACATTTATACCTGGAGGTCCCAAAGGCATTTCTTATGCCCTCTCTTCCGCTACCAGTTCCTCCTCAGATTTCCAATGGTCTGTTTGTTATTTTTGTGTTAGAAACAGAATTCTAAGAGTCATCCTTGATACCTGACTCCATCTCACATCCCATTTCCACTCCATCATTAAATCTTCATAATGTCGCCCTCACATTATCTCTTGTGTTTATCCACTTCTCCCCATTTTCACCATTACTCTCATCCTAGTTCAAGGTACCATCCTCTTCCTCCCAGACTTCCAAATAGCCTCCTAACTGGCCTTCCTCCCTCCACTATGGTGTCACCTCCACCTCAAGTTCATGTCTTAAACTGCAGCGTGTCACTCTGTCTTAAGACACCACTAAATAATTATTTCCTTAGAATAATTTAATGGTGTGTCAATGCTCTTAGCATGTAGACCAAAATGTGCTATGACCCACACAGTCCTGTGTGAGCTGGCCCCTTCCTACCCTTCCCTGAAACCACACTCCCCTGATTCTCTCTCCTCTAGTACTAGCACTCAATGACAGCATTCAATATATGTTCTTTGAGAATTTTCATGTAATGAAAACTGGTACTTGATTTTTCTACTGCTACATAATATGAAGTAAAAATAAAAATTGTAACATCTATTTCTATACAGTGTTACTTCACAGCTTACATACAGTGACATAGTTAGTGAGAAACAATAAAACATGGCATGATGTGATTTCAGCATAAAGAAAAGTGATAGAACTGAATTCTCCCCAGATTTTGCATGGGTAAATATATAGCATAATCTAAAATTGTCATGAGGGGAGGGGACTGTCTCCCAATGTCATGTCATAGTAAAACCTATTTCCCATGTGCTCTGATTAAGAAGCACATTAACTGGAACAAAGTAGCTATGTTTAACCCTCCCCCCAAAAAACCTGATTTCGTTTTGACCCAAGAAATACATTTTCTGAAGTTCTGAAAGTTTTAAAAACAATTGGTTACCAAGAAGTTTAACTAAGAGAAATTAAGGACATGGAAGTATTCTGCATAAAATTATGAAAATATGTTTTTTGAGCCAGTGTCAATCTTGAATTAGTTTTTTCATATGGAAATCAAAAGTCATGTAGGCACTACTTAAGTGGCAGGAGGGACATGGGAGTGTCAGATGATCTGCTATATATTATATCAAGGCAATTAAATAATGTTCAGGACATGATTCATTCTGATGAGATCAATGGATATAGTGGCATATCAAACACTTATGAATCACTCTTATTGGGAAAGCAATTCAATTCTAAAAGGCTGCTCCTATTTATTTTTAGATGACCTAACTCAAGAGATCATTCAGAGTTTCCTGTTTTCCTTCTTTTACCCTTAGATCCAAATAATGATCATTTTTCACATGTACAACTGTTAGAAATCCAAATGCTAATATTCAACTGGAAGGAAATAATGTGAACTGATTACAACCGTGCCAGACCGGCACATCACCCCCATCACGTCCTGGTTCCCAGGACATCCATGTACTGACTCCCAGTGTTGACGTGGACAAGGCTTTAGATGCCATGTAATTAACCTTCACTTAAACCTAGGATACCTCATTTTAGAACATCAAAGCTACAAACAAACAAACAAACACAAAATTCCCCCAAATCTCTTTTGCTGTGAAGCCTGATATTTTCCCCTTTAGTTGGATAGGTGATGTGCCTTTTCTTTGGGAGTACCAGGACCTGCCTTCCTTTTTGCACTTACCTTCCTGTGAGGAAGTATAGAATACACCAGAGTTTTCATTGAGTCTACATAAATATGGTTTCTTCTAAAAATCGTACAATCCACTGTGCTTGATCAATTACTTCTCTGGCCCTTCCTTCCTTGCTCATTTGCATTTTTTCTTCCTACTGTTCTGTACACAATATAAGCAAGCACACATATATCTCCTAATGTGGAGGGAACATTTATCTCCTCTTTAAAAAATGCTCATTCTGCTTAGTCCAGCACAAATGAACACTTTCTGAAAAATCACCTAAAGTCTACATTAGAAATATTTATTAATAAATCTCAATCTCATTGTCCTAGAATAATCAGAGTTTAAAAAGAGAATACATACATTACTGATACCAACCTGAGTGATTCCTTTAATAAATTCTGTACACGGAAAATTGTTCTAATCTAGAGAGGTAAAGGTGCTCACCTACTGCAGTAACGGAATGAACAAAAACTCTAATTTGAAAGAGCAATGTTGCTTACTAATATTCAGGTCATTAAAAAATAAGAGCAAGAACATATTAGTCAGTCAAATATGATACACGTTTTTAGACAATGATAAATAGCTGGACAACTCTTTGCCTTCATTATTACAGCAGGAGATTCTGCTGTGACAGGATGTACCCATGTTGGTTGATGTGGACCAGAGTTCTTGTCCTAGACACTGCACACTAGAAGTTCTTAAAAATGTCCATGCCTGACATACACCTGCAGCTCAATGGACTCAGACACCCAGGGGTGGGGTCTTGAAAGTTTCCGTGAGTGATCCTATTGTGCAGTCAGGGGTGGAGACAATTGACACATTCACCTACTTTTCTTTAATTTGAGGTAAACATTTGAAATGTCTGTAGAATTTGGGTTGAGGATGGTGCTATTGGCATCTAGTGAGTAGAGGCCAGGGATGCTGCCAAACATCCTACAATGCACAGGACAGCCTCCGCCACAGAAAATTATCCAGTTTAAAATGTCAATAGTACCAAGGTTGTGAAACCCTACTCTAAAGGAAGTAAAACAATGGTTTTCCATTTTTTGCATTCTTTATATTCTTTTAGTCCAAATAAGCAAATGTCATGAGCCTCTAGGCACAGCTCAAGATGTGGATGTAGAGACTGAGATCAATGCTGTGAAATACGTCTTGAACAATGCTGATGACAATGTCTTTATTTTTCATACCCTTGGTTTCACTGCCTTCCATTACTTTTCAAGTAGAAATTAAATCATTTTGTAAAGGAACTCCAAGGCCAGATATATGGCTGGTCTCAATCAACACTCATTCACTATGTCACATAAGATGAAAATAAACTCATATGACCATGCCATTCAGTAGTCTTTTCATAAGAGACCATAAAAACAAGCCTTAGAAAACTGGACTGTGTCAATGGAGCTCAGGTGACCATTAGATGGGCTCAAAGAATGTTAATTAAAAATGACCACAAATACCCCTGAGAGAATGTCTAAAGTATCAATTCTGTAAATAAACATACAAGGGAGATACAAAACAATATGATGGGAGTCAATGATTCCCAAAACATATGGGGCAAAAAATAAGCATGCTGTGATCTAACAAAAAATGCTGAGAACGGCCCATCTTCAGTAACCCATGAAGATGAGACTGTTTCTTTCCAGTAGTCATGGTAGGTGAATCCAAACTCTATCTCATTGAACTAGCCCTGCTGGTCTGGATTTGCCAAACAGCTGGTTAACGTTAGAGATGCTGCCCGTGGCTACTCGACCCAGGTCCTCTTTATGCGTAGCTGATTGGCCAGAATCATAATTGGAATCATAAGCTTGGCCAAAGTCACATTTAGCTCAAACCAGCTGAAATCATCAATTCAGTACAGGGCTATTCAAACACAGAAGAGTAGACCAAAACAGCCCTTAATGACATTCCATTGTACAAATCTAGTTTGCATAATAGAGTTGAACCACATATATCTATGCAATTCAAAATTCCCACCAAATTCAACCATTATGTTCCACGGAAGATGCATTTGCTTTAGTTACTTTATTCTTTTTTTTTCTCAAAGTAGATGCAACAATCTATTTAAATACATTTACCTAAAGTTTCTTTTCAGAACAAGTCCAACTTTAACTATTCTTCTTTTTTTCAAGTAATTACTTGTTTATTTATTTTTAAAACTTTTTTAAAGTATGGAGTACAATTAACGGTTAGGTATACAAATGGTCATTGTACAGGTAAAGTTTGGGCCTCACTCTGGTTTCCACTTCACCTGGTTTGAGATCAGGTACCCTTATTGATGTTGTGTCCCCCCATCCCCTGGCAAATTCCCACTACTGCCAATCCCTTTCTCATAGTATTGTAATTGTTCAGGATCTGCTTTATTCCTTACCTCTGTCTTTGTTTTTCTCCTTTCCTAGTGAATCCAGTTTCTTTCTCAAAGATTTCTTTCTTTTTTGCCCATCTGTAAATATTAAAAGAATGAGAAGTTGTAAAAACAAATATACAAGTGATATTTTACATTATCAATAATTACATTTTAAGCAAAACTATGGCTTCTCTCTTAACCTCACTTACAATTTTAGACAGAGTAACAGCTCTGAGAATATATAAAAATTCCTGACTTGGATAGCATATATAACAAAAATCTTGGTGTATGCTCTTAAATTTTCTTTCAGTCACGGAGAGTATAGAAAACTTACCTCTTTTTGGAAGTAATTTATCTTTGGTCTTTAGATAGGTTTGCTTTTACTATTACACAAGTCTCTTCCTCTTCTCCATGGTTATGCAATTCAATGCTCATCTTGAACCAAATCTCATTCATGAGCTCATAGAGTATAACTGGACAAGAAAATGGGTTTGGGGGCCTGTAAAACTCAGGTCCAACTATTGCTGCACCATTTACCAACTATGTGACTTTGGACAATTCTTAGTACCCTCATCTATAAAATGCGAATGTCATGGAGTTGTGAAAACTAAATAAAATGATGGGTACAAAGTGCTTAATAGGGAGCCTTAAACAAGTCAGGATGCTTTCTTTGTGGGGGGTTGCATAGTGTTCCATACTATGACTATATGATAATTTAATTATCCATTACTCCACTGATGGACATTTGGGTTTTTCTTCTAATTTTTCACTGTAATAAGTAAGGAATATATTCTCTAAGCATCTGTTATTTACAACAAATGTACTTAATACATCTGTTTAACTCACCAAATAATAAAGATATCACTCATATCAATGGGCAGCTGCAATCAAATTCTTGGTATGTCATCATAAAATATTGGCATTCATCATTGCCAGAATGTGTTTCAAGAGTATGCAGCTGTCAGCTTAACATGGTGGGAGGTGCGAATCCAGAATCTACACTGTAATCAAATAGGGATGTGCAGCTCATGCTGCAAGGAAAGGTATGGTGAAAAGGGGCCTAAAAATTGTTTTTCACAGGACACGCTAAAAAAATGTAGCAAAGGAAGAGATTCAGCCCAATAAAATTTAAAAGCAAGACTATGATACTGGAAAAGACAGAGTAAGCATTATGAAACAGAAATGAACATTCCTGGGATCCTCACGGAGTTGCAGATGTTCCTCATTTTTGGAGGCAAAAGAACATCACAATATAATCAACAGGCACACTCAATCCCTCCTCCCTTTCAAGGATTTCAAAAATGACTCTCCTCCCACAAAATGAAAATATTTCATAAGAATCTTCAACCTTGTAGTCATGCAATATGTATAGGGGAAAATTGTGTAAATCAGTTATAATGTGGCAAAGAGCCACTGACCTTTTCTATCATGTATGTGTTCATATCTACAAAACCTAAAAGATGATGTAACTACTAGGTCCTACCATGACTTACTACACAGACAATAAACATTCTAACTGTACAAGATTCTAATCTAGTCTACAAATAGGACTGACAGATCTTTTACTTGTAGTACTTCATTCACCATTAGGTTCATATCACCAAATGTATCTGACAGTAATGAACTTTTATTTAATTTTCTTCTAAAAAAAATTTTTAGATTCAAGGGGTACAAGTGCATGTTTGTTACATGGATGTATTGCATACTAGTGGGGATTAGGCTTCTGATGTCCCCATTTTCCAAAGGCAATCAGTGGTATCCAAATAGGAAAAGAAGAAGTCAAGTTATCTCTCTTTGCAGATGACATGATTGTGTACCTTGAAAACCCAAGAGAATCTGTCAAAAACCTCTTTATACTGATAAAAGACTTTGGCAAAGTCTCAGGGTATAAAATAAATGTGCAAAAGACTATGCATGCATTTCTAAAGAGATGACTTTGTTTTTTTCTGTACTGAGATGTATATACATGGAATCACACTGTGGATACACTTTCTTGTTTTGTTTATTTCATTCACCAATACATTGTGAGATTCATCTTGTTGGGGCAGGTAGCTGTAGATCATGCTGTGTATTTGTATGAATATAACACAGTTAACTTCCCCATTGAACTACTGATGGAAATTTGAGTTGTTTCTAGCTTGAGGTTATTAGGAACAACAATTTGGAAAAGTTTTGCTCATGTCTTCTTTACGTGCATGCGTGTGCAAAAGTCTCAAGACAGCGATTCTGAGAGTGTGGTTTCAGGACCAGCAGCATCATTATCATCTAGGAACCTGTTAGAGAAGCAACCCAGACCCACTAAACCTAGAACTCTGGGGTGGCACCCAGTAATGTGTGTTTGAACGGACCCTCCAGGGGATTCTGGTGCACACTAAAGTCTAAGAATCATTGCTTCAGGGTACATGAGAATATGTAAAAGCTTCATTGCTTGGTCAGCATGTCTGCACTTTTAGGCTTTATTTTGTACCATCAAACTCTTCAAAGCAGTTTTGCTCATTCATATTCCCACCAGTATTAGAGTTTACATAGTCCCACAAGGATATTATATGCTTTAATCTCCAAATCTCCAGACAATATCTTGGTCTTTTTATAGGCAAAATGTGAATACTACACAGACATTTTTTAAAAGAATGAAATCATGTCCTTTGCAGAAACTGGCGGCTATTACCCTAAGTGAAATAACTTAGAAACAGAAAATCAAATATCACATAGTCTCACTTATAAGTGGGAGCTAAACAATGGGTACACATAGGCATACAATGGAATAAAAGACGTTGAAGACTTCAAAAGGGATGAGAGAGGGAGGGGGTGAGGACTGAAAAACTACCTAGTGGGTACTATGTTCTCCATTTGTGTCATGGGTTCAACAGAAGCACAAACCTCATCATTATGCAATATACTCATGTTACAAACCTGCACATACACCTCTTGTATCAATAATACAATTTTTTTAAATGCTTAACTACTTACAAAAAAGGCCCATTGGTGTAGGGTGTGGTTAAGCTGGGCAGCCTCTTTGGAGAGTTCAATACCAGACTGGGTCTTTAGGAGGATTGAGAATATGAAGATGTGAGATTACTCCTCCAGGACATGCTTTCCATGAACTTATTTGCTGTTGAGGGTGGTGTTCCATTTTAAGGCTTGTTTCTCCTAGACTAGACTATAAGCTCTCTGAGAAAAAAACCAGTCCCCTAGGCTTTTGTCTTCTTCCAAATGAATAGACCAGGGTGGAGCACACCCAGACTTGTCAGTACTGTCCAAGGCCAGGAATTCTGATGGAGGATTTGGGTTAAGTCCAAGGGAACCCAGGAGCAATAAAGTACACATCTCCCAATTTTAAGGTAATAAGATTTATGTAATCTTATTAATATTAAGTTAATATTAAATTCCAGAGATAATAAAATGACTGTCCAAGGAGAAGACTTTGCTGACAGAGGAAAAGTAAATGTTACCTTTGGGAAAGAAATATTACCTGAAAAGGGGCAGGAGGGAGCCTTCTGGGGTGCTAAGAGTGTTCTATATTTTTATTTGGTTGGTAGTTACATGATATATACATATTAAAAAGTCATTGAGCTTTATTTGTGCATATTCATATTTATGTATATTACTATATGTATGTTACCCCTCAATAAAAAGAATAACAATAAAAGACTTCACCATTTTTACAGAATGGCACCAACATAAAAGTTACTGAATGAGGCTGAAAATTCAGCAAAGTCTTTAAGAGGAAAATTCTTAAGTGTTTAACTTTTCTAAATATCTGAATATCTATGATCTCATCTAACCACTACAACTTCCCTGTGACACACACAGTAGTAATGAATAGTTAGTATTTATTGAGCAAGTACTATGAGCTGTGTGCTTAGTTTCCAAAATCTTATGACATCCTCACAGAAGCTTTATGAATCCCATACTAATATTCTTATTCTTCCCATTTTATAGATATGGAGATGGAGGTTGGGAGAGATAAAGTAACTTTCCCATGGGCAGAAGTTGGATGTGGTAAATTCAGAACTTGCATATAGCCCTATCCAACATCAAAGCTGGTACTCTTAACCTCTACCTATGCTGTAGTGGAGGAAACATGGTGTCTTTTTGAGGAATGTGATGGTAAGGGCCAGATACATGGACTAACATGCCCAAGATAATACAGTGGTAGAGAGGGAAAAGAACGAGAAACTGATAATTTTTAAACTCTAGATATGTACCCAGATTGATATGTCATTTTCATATGCTGTTAAATATTATACTTACATTATCTAATACACACCAACACACAGTCCACTGGGGTAGCTTTTTATTTATTTGTTTTACAGTTGAGGGAACTGAAAATCACAGAGTTAATGCTAATTCTCTCAAAATCACAGAACTGGTAGCTGTGGGCCTGGGATTCAAACAAAATTCCAGATCTTTCCAATAAGCACGACTCGTCTTGAGAAGTGTGGCTGAGAAGAGAGCCCAGATGCCTGTGAGAAGAAGCTGTCAGCCCTTTCTTTAAGGTCACTTTGCTGGTGCAGTATGAACGAGGGTTCTGGCCTCTTCTATCTGAGAGGTGTTTGTAAAACAACGGGCAACCACTTGTGAGGTTTATTTAGACTCCGCCCTCCCAGAAGCCAGGATGATGAGCAAGGGTGCACTAAGGCTCCTTTCTTAGTCAGGTAATCCCGGGGAATGGTATAGACAACCTCAGTCCACAAGTGCAACTGGATGCAGGACATGGCAACGGCATTTAAGCCCTTTTAAATCCCTTCACTCGTAGAGCTCTGTAAATACCACACTACTGGAAAGGAGAAGAAATCACACTCACTGAGATCGGAAATGGAGACCAAAACAACAAAAAAAAAAATTGCTAAATGTCTACTGGGAACAAAGCCTTCCTCTGGTGCTGCTGCAGATACAGGCAAAAATCTAACCTGGTGGGTGCAAAATGGTCATATTGAGCCCCCTATTATTCAGGTGGTGTTCAGTTCACACAAAGATTTAAAATAAGTTGAGCCCTAAAGCAAAATCTCAGCGAGTTCACATACGTATCTGGATTTCTAGCCTCTTGAGAAAGGCGGAATAGCTGGCAGCACTGTATCCCACATTCCTCGCAT